CAAAGAAACATTCTTTACATGATTGCAAGGTATGGGTCAAAAAGACCAACTTCTTGGTAATTAAAACGTAAATTGAAGATATTTAATTACAATGGAAGAATAATACATTGTCACAATCTTACATTCTATGGAGATTGGACGATATGAAATTCTGTGCTAATAGACTTACGGTGATTCAGTGAACAAAAAGTGCATGGACAAAGTTTTACAAAGATTTGTTGACCCTTGTTGCTTCTGATCACAGGAACGTTTACCCACATCAATTACTAGCTTGTTCATATTAAAACAGTAAAATTGTAATTCTATTATGTGCACATATATGATACCAGTTGGTGTAAATTACGTTAATTATATAGTATTCTGTTGCAGTAAGTCATTTGGATGCATTTTACTGGCACAAAATTGAGCAAGAAATCAGAGAAAGGAAAATGGATTGGGTATTCAAAGGAATAACAGTAGAAATGAAGGATTCTTTCATGGAGCACATTAATGTACTATGACGAAATGTACAAACATACAGACAGTATGTTAGTTGATTTACTTGCAGACAAAATTTAGATTGAACGCTGCACAAGCCTTGTAATATGACCCGAAATACTTGGATACAAGTATGTTGAGCATTATTTTTAATGTACCCAGTGAACAATTGTAACTGCAGGTGTAGAGCATACATTAATAATAATAAAAAACAAGAACCTAAATAAATTTTGTTTTGAACACATAGGTTGCGAGAACTTTGTAGCGATGGATGGTATCTGGAAACTGCGTCATCCTCGTTCTATGTACCCAATCTACCCATTGTATGTGAAATCCAAGATTAGTGGTCTTCCTATGGTAAACTACCCCAATGTTTGCACAAATGAACCCAAGTCTCAATGGTCAGTATTTTGTACTGTTCATTCCCAGCTTGCTATTAAAAATGGTATCCCGACCAACCTTACAGAATTTGTTCATGATTATTGCAAGGTGGACAAATGTGTTGACAGTAATTTTTATATAGCTAATTGTTACAATATCATTTTCTCAATTGTTTTATCGAACTCATTAGACATAATAATAAAAGTTTTTTTTAATTAAAACATAACTCACATGTGAATGACTGAAATCAGTGTAAACAATTGCACCATCTTTTATTTTCCAACATGAAATACTGTGCATTAGCTACTAATAATGAATCTAATATGTAGCCACATCGGAATCAATCAGAAATTCCCATACTAGAGCTACGTGCAATAAACCTGTTTTCATATAAAAAAGTGCTAATAAATAAAAAAAAACGATGATTTGTAAAAATTGATAGTTTTTATCAGCGAGTTAGAGTGTATTATAAATTAAATTTCTTTACTAACAAATGTATCAATCTGAAATATTTTAATTCCTTTCAGTTTTTGATCCTTCTACAATAAACTCTTTAAAAGCAGGCCCCTATAAACATAGTACGTGCACATACCTTTGCCGATTCATATCTCCGGTTTGGTGCACATAAGGAAGATAAAAATACCACCATTCGATTCAGTGAAACAATATTAGTCTAGGACCTGTATATGAGTTTGTATGCATTTCATTTAGGACAGATAATCTCGACTGTTTTAGGGCAAGTTGACCATGACGGTCAACATGGTAACGCTGCCCGAACCCCAATCCGGGACGAAACGTCCGAAACTGACCACACCCAAAAACGACGCTTTCGCCATACTGCTATCTAGCAAACCATAAAAGCTTTGGCTATTCTGAGGTGCTTACATGGTTCAGAGATGGTACTATTGGGGGTGGTCATTGGTAAGTGTGAAATGCCTAGCACTAATATTTCACAAGAAAATGGCCATGCAATAATCATAGTTAAACGTCAATTTGTGGCTTGGAAATTCAGATAAACAGCAGTGGACTTACATTACCTTTTTCCCTAAATCTTTTTGATAGAAACATAAATGGTACTTATTTAAATATATTATCACTGGTTTGGTGTAAAATAGTTAATATTTTCTGACCGAAATAATAATTTGAAATGTGCCTACCTCCTGCAAATGGGCGTATTTGGCCAAGTTCTCCACTTTACTCCGCTGTTTATCGGCGATCTCGTCGACATCCTACAAAAAATGTAAATCATCTCAGACATAATGGTATCAAGAACATTTTAAACAAGTTTCAACTTGGTTTCAAGTAGATCATACCTGTTTAACCATCGACAAGGTAAATCCACAACTTTGTCCAAATTCGGCGCCATTTTGTCATCCCATGTCGCTTGTTAACAATTCAGCATTATTACTCTTCCATCCAAGCCATTTCCATTCCACTAATAATAAATTTAACCCTTTATAACAGGAGGAAACTAAAAAATCTAAACAAAATATAAGAAATTCGCCATTTTATCACCCTGTAAAATTTCGCTCACGAGTCTCTCAAAACATTCCGTACAAATCTCGCGTGGTTTAGCAACATGGACGTGACAGGGGGGGTAGAGACTTGAAAAATGAAAGCCCATACGGTATGGTAAAACCAACAATCAACATTTAATTTGTATGACTTTTTCATATTAATAAATAATAAATGTATATATTTGTCACTACAAGAAATAAAACAAACATTTGTATGATTGTATTTAGCTTTTAGTCTATTTCACGCAGCCTTCTTCTATCTTCGTGAGATAATTCACCCCCTCCTGTCACGTCCCTGTTACTTTGTCACGCGATATTTGTACGGAATGTTTTGAAAGACTCGTGAGCGAAATTTTACAGGGTGATAAAATGGCGAATTTCTTATGTTTTGTTTAGATTTTTTAGTTTCCTCCTGTTATAAAGGGTTAAATTTATTATTAGTGGAATGAAAATGGCTTGGATGGAAGAGTAACAAGCTGAATTGTTAACAAGCGACATGGGATGACAAAATGGCGCCAAATTTGGATAAAGTTGTGGATTTACCTTGTCGATGGTTAAACAGGTATGATCTACTTGAAACCAAGTTGAAACTTGTTTAAAATGTTCTTGATACCATTATGTCTGAGATGATTTACATTTTTTGTAGGATGTCAACGAGATCGCCGATAAACAGCGGAGTAAAGTGGAGAACTTGGCCAAATACGTCCATTTGCAGGAGGTAGGCACATTTCAAATTATTATTTCGGTCAGAAAATATTAACTATTTTACACCAAACCAGTGGTAATATATTTAAATAAGTACCATTTATGTTTCTATAAAAAGATTTAGGGAAAAAGGTAATGTAAGTCCACTGCTGTTTATCTGAATTTCCAAGCCACAAATTGACGTTTAACTATGATTATTGCATGGCCATTTTCTTGTGAAATATTAGTGCTAGGCATTTCACACTTACCAATGACCACCCCCAATAGTACCATCTCTGAACCATGTAAGCACCTCAGAATAGCCAAAGCTTTTATGGTTTGGTAGATAGCAGTATGGCGAAAGCGTCGTTTTTGGGTGTGGTCAGTTTCGGACGTTTCGTCCCGGATTGGGGTTCGGGCAGCGTTACCATGTTGACCGTCATGGTCAACTTGCCCTAAAACAGTTGAGATTATCTGTCCTAAATGAAATGCATACAAACTCATATACAGGTCCTAGACTATATCTCCTAATACCTATCGATAGTTTTAGTCAAATATAGTTTTAGCAAAATTGTATAACTATTTATGACCTTTTGACAGGTGAAGCAGTGTCATATTTCATTATATTAATCAATTGTCTCGAACAATGTAAACTATCCATACCTTTCGCTGAACATAACTTCGGCCCCTTTTGAGATATCGTTTTTGCTATAGTCTTATTCGAAACAGAATCCAAAACACTATTGAAAGTGTTATTTTCAAGCTTGTAGCCTTAGTTTTTCGTCTTTTATTTCGGTATTTCAATCTGTTGCGAAACTAATGAAATCAGCGGGATATTTTTAACTGGAAATACACTTTAGATTGCCCAAAACATCATGTGTTTACATTCTAGCGCTCGGAAAACATCGGAAATCAATGCTAAAGGTCAAATTACAACTGCAGCGTGATTTTCACATGCATTGGGCTACGGGATACTCCTTATTGGTCAAAACCCGAAAATTGGAAACCCGATATACTAAAAAATTCCAAATAAACATTTCTACTTGCCGTATTCAAACGAAACTTTCTACATAAAAGCGCTTGAATACAAGGAATATTTCACTAATATTAACTTGTGGCGAATTCTGAAAAGTTTAGAAAATATTCAACTTTTTCTCCATATGAAAATACAGAATGTTTGGCCAAGCGGTGAGTAAAAATATGATTGTTTCAGTTTGTGTATTTGTTTTGATGGCATTAGATCCCCCCCCCCCCGATAAAAAGCTTATTTTGCTACGATTTCAATGGTGTTCTTTGTTTTTAAGGGGGGTGAATACACGCTGAAATATTTATGTTATAAAACAGTTGAATCAAAATGTTGCTTGCCGTGAAAAATGTCGAGAAAGAGTTAAGGTGGTCTTCCACTCAAAATTGCAAAAAGTTTAAAATTAGGTTAAAATTATATATTTTTGTACCCCTTGGAAGGAAAAGTGACACTGACAATGTTTTCGATACACATGTTGTTGCCATGGTAACCAGGTTGGAGGCCCCCAACTGTGAAAAACGGCCATGTTTTGTGCAAAAGATAACTTAAGAACCAGTGGTCTAAAATTCTCAAAAAAAAGGTTTAAAGTGTACAGAAAAGGTTGCTCTATGTTCTGAACCAAAAAAATACTCATATATTTTATATTTTATTACAAGTAAAAATATATGTGAATTTTCCTAACAAATGGAGAATTTTGCCTGAGGCTAACAACAACATGTCAATCATTTACTACAATTATGGTATTGTTGTCATTTTTATTGGTTCAGAACACAAAGCAATATCAGAACAAGCATTTGTGAAAGTTTCAAATAATTACTACTAGTATTTCTTGAGATATCCTTTTCAGAACAATGCGGGTTGGCCAAATTTCTGAATTGGAACAAATCAAGTTTCAAAGTTTAAGATAATATGTGGGCTCACTTATACAATCTTACTATATCTTGTTCCTTATAGTCTGCCTTTTTACTTATCATATCGTCATATTGAGAACATTCGGCTTCACAATATTTCCTAGGATTAATGCCAATGTTCTTCAGAACTTGAATAGAAGCTTCACATCCAATATTGAAGTGGGCAATAGCATCATGTACTCCAAGTTGCAGTACGTCCGAGCCGACAAATGTTTGTTTTGGCAACTGTTCCCAAATCATACCTTTAGAGACTCATTCTGATTTTGAGTCTTGCTATCTAAACACCTTGACAAAAGGCCATCATCACCTTAGGCTCTCAAAAGTTGGTTTTAATTGCACAGTAATATCCACAGGCAAGCCAGCTCCATGTTTGTATTCACTCGTCTTATTTGCTTTGTCTGACATGTAACTGTGAATATGGAGTTGGTCAAGGAACAGGTGGCATGTTCATCAGACCACAAAACCGTTTTGCTGCAGATGACCACAACCAATGGATCTTAGAGCATACACAAACCTCCTGTTTACTTAAACAAAAACGTGATATCTGACGTGAGGTAAAAAACTGCTTATTCCAACAACAAGAACAACAAAGTGGCTGAAGATGGGAGGCACACCCTTTTCATTTTAACCCATTTCATTCAAAGTAAGGCAACTGGCAACATTCATTGCATTCTTTGCATGGTAAAATGCTAAACACATGAAAAATTGTCATATCAACAAACTGAATCCCACTTACAATTAGTGTACCCGTAAATATTCCGTCATCAGCAACCTTTTGTGGCTTTGAAGGATTTATTTTCCTAGCTGATAGTCGTTTTCGTTTTGGCTGTTCATTTCTATGTCCGACATGATTCACCACAGTTCTCCGACGTGTTTCTTTGACGTGTGTGTGATTACCATAATATTTTTGCTTTCCCGAATAACCAGATCGAGCACGTCGCATTTTAAACCAACTTTTAACACCAAACAAATAGTAATGATGTGAAAATTTAAATTGCAAATGAGGAAATGCTTCACCTGAACTTTTGCTGTTGAAATCACTTTGCCAAACGAAATACTTCATGTAAACATGAGTTAAATGTCCCTGATCATTTTGCCAAAAAGAAATCAGGGAGGGGTGGGTAATAGTACATTTCTTTCATAACCAATTGACAAGATTCACAGTAAACTATTTGTTGCTAAGGCGGTTACTAAGGGAAAAATGGCACATTTGTTCAGTATTTCCCATTTTTTCATATTTAACGAAGAAATACCGTTACAAAAAGCTTAACCACATGAAAATATAATAAATAGGCATGACAATTTTGCTACTTTCAAAAAAAGTGAAAAAAATCAAAATTTTGAGTGGAAGACCACCATTAACTTAAGTGATGCTAGGCAGATAAATGAGGTAGCTTCAAGAATGAGTGATAAAATCATGTGCAACATTGCTGAATCTCAAGGTACTTCTCTATGATCAGGTAGCAAATTACAATCCGGACTATTAGTAATTACATAACCTAAAAACACGTTTTTCAGAGGTTTATAATTAATATTCATTTCTTGTTATGAATAATTAACTGTTATTATTCATTCCTTAAAGAGGAAAAACGTCATTATGTTAGACTCACAGACTTGTGGTTAAGTCATTGAATACCTCATGTGACGTGTTATTCGATCTAAAACACTTGTCTGTTCCCGCATGTTTCAACTTTAATATATTCTTCATTTAATTAGTGAACTTATTTTTTAATATTTTTAATATGAAGGAATGTCCAACTTATTGAATCGATGTGGTCCAAAAAATTAGAAGATTGCCAGGAAGACGAATCAGAAGATGAAGTATTGCAAGAAGTTTTGCGGAAATGGTCCAGAGGTCTCTTCCATCATGTTCGTGGAGGAGGGCACACACAGATAAATGGAATCCAATTTACATGTAAGATTGCAATCACTAGGGAAAACAACTCTTTTAATACTTAGTTGTATTTCATTAGCCAACACCGAACAAAAAGATACAACAAATCTGCTCCTTTATTTGACATGACATTCTAATTGAATGTGCTAGGGAAAGATGGAGGGGAGAAAAAAGCTCTGGGGATGACTGTTGTGCAGTCTGTAGCTCCGCAACTATAAAATATGAACTTGTTATTTTAGGTCCAAAGGTCCAGGTCAGGTGTTTCTTCTTACCTTACTATTCCTAATGCAACAACTTCAAGGAGTTCCAGAAAACGAGTGGGGTGACTAGACAGGTAAGGGTTGCCAAAAAAACTCTGTCACTTCCACCACCATATAATGAAGTTTCGTTTAAGATCAACAAAGTAATCGATCACCTACATATGAGAAATCATAAGCACTGTGAGTGCAAAACAGACCTGCTTAAGGAAAAGATCCCAGGATTAACACAACCATGGCAGAACAAACCTTTGTGTGGGCTGTGAAATTTAAAAAAATCATGTGTGCCATGCCTAAAGGTGACAGGTTTTTGTGGGTAGCCGCGCATGCGCAGCTAACCACTATGTGAGACACTGAAGCGCAATCTTCCGTTTCTCTGTGGCTCCGTGGCGCTGTAGCCTTCATGTCCGCGGTGTCCTGCTGCGTGGTTCCTTTTATCCTTGAAATACGAACCGTCTATAGACCACAGGCTAAGTTCACTAACGCTCATACCATACAGAGATGTGTATAAATTCTTAGTAAAGTCTTTATTGTAATATGTTTTGTCAGGTCGATAGTCATTTCCAACGCATATAGAATCGAATATGTCATTGTTTTTATAATCACTGCTTGTACAAGGGTCATCGGGGTTAATATTAGCGCACGGGGTCTGTTTTATATCGTGTAATGTCATATTTAAACACGACATATCAGTTTGATCAAACATTTTATACGTATTAGAAAAATATAGTAATTAATGATATAGCGCGCGACAATTGGACATATTTACGTTAGTCTATATCGAAGGAATGTTGACGAATGGCGAACATATAGGTATATAGAATCGAGTATGTCGTTGCTTACATTACATAATGTTTGTAAGGCCACGTCATTGGAATCGGGTTAGTCGAATGTGTAAGTTAAGGCAAATAGAAAGCCAAGCACGGTTTACACAAGGATTAAATTAGGCAGTGGAATATTAGCGCTTTTTTACTTAGGGATATATTTGTCGAATATTGAAAGCAAATTGAATGTCATTACCAATATATAATAATAATCATTATTCATCAAAATACCAATACAGGCACATATGAAATTACATACAATAAAAGATACAAAGCGTATCTATATGTGATAGTTGTTATAAGATATAAGATTATAAAAAGTGCATAAATATATATGAGATCGATTATGTCGTTTAAATAATTCAATCATCCCTAAATAAATATATGTTGATCTTTTTCAAACTCCGCCGGAAAACATCGTCCTTAGATCTTTGCATGGACTATCCTTGAAACTCAAACTTCACAAAAATTGTATATACGCAGCCTGTAAACCTGATGCTTTGTCTTTGATGTATGCTGTCCTTGAACAAGAACTGTTCTTGTCTTAAGTGTTTTTCGTACTGTCTGTATTTCGGCGTGTGATGTATTTTGTTTCGTATACATATTAAAGACCTTGTACTGTTCTGTCTGTTCAGTGTGCAAATTATTTTTGACACATTAAAATACTTTGTAACTTCTTAAATCTGTTTATGCTTATTGAAAAATGCACGTAACAGTCGTTTACGTATTTTTGTCATATCTGATGTTCAGTATGTGATTAAATGTGTGTATAATATTTGAATTGTGTTCAATTTACTTAATACTTTCTTTCAGTAAATTCGGAATTTGACAATAGCAATTAAGGCGGAGTAATATACTAATATGGGCATGTTAATTGAAATGTTTTGTCAACATTTCTACTTAAAATGCGTTGATATCAGATTTTGTTGCAGAAATTTTGGCTGCAGCAATTTTGTTGCGCGTATTACTCCAACCTCGGTATTACTCCAACTTTAACAACAATTAATGCAGGCTACCCACATGTATGCAGCGCGTACCTATTTTTTATCATTGCAGGGTAGGAAGGCGAAATAAATACACAAGCCAGTGTTATAAAGAGAAGAGAGATCCAACACTACCCAAAATCCATGGTGGGGTACAGGAAGCATAAAAAGCAGGACGGCAATTATGAAGTGTTATTAGGGTCAAAATTCGAATACAAATTATGTTGTCCTTGCACTTAATTTATATTTGTTTAAATTGAAGAATAACGCAATTTGAAATGGAATAAAACAAATTGAAATGGAACAACGCAATTTGTTATTCAATTTCAAATTGTGTTGTTCCATTTCAAATTGTGTTTATTCGATTTCAAATTGAAATGGAACAACACAATTTGAAAGGGAATAACATATAAAACCCACCATAGCCTGTCCAAATAGTGCACTATTGAAATAGGTTAAAAATTGTCTAGGGATAGTGGTGCAATATCCATGCAAGAAGTAGTTACCTATTACTGGTATATGTGTTCGGTAATTTAATTAAGCAGACCACAAGAAAATGCCACTTGGGGGCTGTTATAGGATCCAAAGAATATAAAGACCAGTATTGCAGAGATAAAGTCCAAGGATGGAGACGAGATATCACATCCCTCGCAGAAATTGCAAAAAGCCCACCTCACTGTGCCTACATTGCCCTCACAAAAGCATACAAATCTAAATTTACCCACTTCATGCGAGCAATTGAGGCTTTTGAACAGTATGTAGACCTGGTACATGAAGCTTTGAATGAAATTCTCCTTCTGCAACTCTTTGGTCAGGAAGAACCCCTCGCGGATGAGCTATTTATCACTTATTTACTGAGACCGAGGGAAAGCAGTGTTTTGTGGACCCGAGACCGCCGTTGTTGCCCAAGACAAAGCAGAGGGGGGCACAAAACACACTGTTTTCCCAAGGAATTGTTATATAGTAAATAAGTGTCAAAGTATGATAATTCACTGGTTATTGGAGTAAACTTAATTTGAAACTAAAACTGGATAAATGTAACGCAGTAAATGTTTAACAAAACTTTGGAACTTCATGGTTGACACCATGCGTGTTACACCCATTTTATTATTGACCGGTCAATAATGTTTCATTGTGGACCGGTTGCCTCCTCGGCAAAGCATGCAGTGAACATGACGACTTGGGGACCAGGCACGTGGTATGGTTTTGACCAACCGGCAAACAGAAAAATTGAACTTTGACACTAACTATATAACAAGTGAACTTGTGACCCTAACACCAGCTCAAGGTAGTCTCAGGGTGCCGAATTTGAGCGTCAAAGCCCCACAGCAACCCAGCTAGGCACAGTATGTAAATACAACGTTTTAAATTGGTTGTGGTTTGGTTAGGTCCGACCTAACCTTCAAATAACTTAATTAGAACGTTATTCGTACACGACACTAATTAGAATGAATATCCTGACATGGAAACTACGTTCTCATAACGTTATAGATTTACAGTTTCTACCAACGTCGAGAAAACGTTTTAAACATGTACAGGTCCACAGGTCGGTACGTGGCAACTACGTTCTTATTGCGTTACAGATTTACGTTTTCCGCCAACGTCGAGAAAACGTTTTAAACACGTACAGGTCCACTGGTCGGTACGTGGCAACTACGTTCTTATTGCGTTGCAGATTTACGTTTTCCGCCAACGTCGAGAAAACGTTTTAAACACGTAGCCAAACGTTTTGAAAAGGATTACACTTTCAGATCAAGGTACACATGTAATTACCGCTGTTCATATATCGACTGAGCCGAAATGTGCGTAATTTATTCTATTCTCAAATTGCAATGTATTTTATTTGTGCATGTTGTTCGCTGAGCGTATAGTTTTTTGAGGCAAAGTTTACGCAAGAAATTATTCGATTTTCATATCCACGTTCGAAGGTATGTATATATTCAACAGTACATATATCTCTTCTAATGTAAATTTGCTTATTTCGTGGAATGTCCATTCAAGGTTTTCTAACATTTGATTATCTCTTCTCATGTAGTCCTTTCGACAGTTTGTTGTTGACGTTGTTGCATATACCAGTAAATTGTATCATACGAACGCGGAACGCCACGACTTTATAGTCCGAATGTAAGTATATATTTTGCTGTTTGGTTATATGTTTTTACTGTATTGCTGTCTTGTCAGTTGACCTTTGATATTTTCCTTTAATAAACGAGACATTTTAAACACAATAGTAGAGCTTACATGGCATGGACACAGCATGATACATTTTTTCGAAAGGGCATGTCCTAAAAACCGGTAAATAGTTTATACATTGCATTACAATAAAATGGATTCTTAATCTGAGTATTATCGTATTTTAAATGCATACGTTCAACATGTTTGCTGCATATTATTATAGACTCGTTTTTGATCATAAACATTCCTGTAACATGAGAACTATAGGGAAATTTGAAATTAAGGCCCTTATAGTTTGAATAATTTTGTGTTTGTTTTTCCAAGATGCTAAATAACGTATGGCTGTTGTTACACAATCATTTATGAATTCGTTCCATTGAATCTTTTCCAACAGGAAAACCAATAGCGTATTGGAAAATTTGCGCGACTTTTATATTTCAGAGCACGATCGAATCCGTTGAGTCAGTGAAATGTCTGTTTCTAACATGCAAATTGTTTGCACTTTTAGAAAACGGTTGATGCGTCTGCAGATGAAGATGGCCAAAATAAAGAGCTAGTGACTCGAGTCTGTTGCACGAAAGTATAACGTTCTTTTATGCCGGTTTTCCACTAGCGAATTTCTTCGTGCGAAACGATATTTATATGGTTAAAATTTAAAAGACTTTATTATAAGGTGATAAGTAATTTTACATAAGTTTCAGCTGACTGAGCAGAGAGCTCATAAGACAAAAAAATATACAATATAGTCCGTTCGTGCGTCAAAATTCACTTTAGCTTCTATAATCTCTAGACTATATATTATCTTTGTCCAAATATCGTTGTATTCTACCATCATAAATATCTATATCTTGTACTATTTTCTCCTTTATCTTTTATCTTTACTTAAATAATATTATGTTATATTATGATTTATGTATTTATATGTATGTATTTTATGTATGAACGTTTCGCTGCAATAAATATATGTCGTTATATAAAAGTTGTATGAGCGCATTGCTTGAATAAATTCACGTTTCATGAACGTTGTGAGAACGTTTGTTCTTACGTTGTCTTACTACGTTGTGACAACGTCCTCTGGAGTCGACAAAATCACGTCCAGCGCACGTAAACTCACAACGCTTTTTCACGTATAAGCGGAACGTTCTAAAAACGTTGTGAGGAAGTTCTTTTTACGTTGCTGACTACGTTGTGACAACATCCCATGGAGTCGACAAAAACACGTCCAGCGCACGTAAACTCACAACGTTTTTTTCACGTACAAGCGGAACGTTCTAAGAACGTTGTGAGGAAGTTCTTTTTACGTTACTGACTACGTTGTGACAACATTCTCTGGAGTCGACAAAAACACGTCCAGCGCACGTAAAGAGACAACGTTTTACCAACGTAAGCTGCACGTTCTTAAAACGTTGTGAGGACG